ACATACATACATCACATACATACATACATACATACATACATACATACATACATACATACATACATACATACATACATACATACATACACACACACATACATACATACATACATTACATACCTACATACATTACATTACATACATACATACATACATACATACATACGTACATACATACATACAAACATACATATGCCAAAGCCACAGCCTGAAGGCTGTGGCAGCCACAGCCCGAAAGCTGTGACAGATACAGCCCGAAGACTGTACCAAAGCAACAGCCCGAAGGCTGTGGCAGCCACAGCCCGAAAGCTGTGGCAGATACAGCCCGAAGACTGTACCAAAGCCACAGCCCGAAGGCTGTGGCAGCCACAGCCCGACAGCTGTGGCAGATACAGCCCGAAGACTGTACCAAAGCCACAGCCCGAAGGCTGTGGCAGCCCCAGCCCGAAAGCTGTGGCAGATACAGCCCGAAGACTGTACCATCGCCACAGCCCGAAGGCTGTGGCAGCCACAGCCCGAAAGCTGTGGCAGATACAGCCCGAAGACTGTACCAAAGCCACAGCCCGAAGGCTGTGGCAGCCACAGCCCGAAAGCTGTGGCAGATACAGCCCGAAGACTGTACCAAAGCCACAGCCCGAAGGCTGTGGCAGCCACAGCCCGAAAGCTGTGGCAGATACAGCCCGAAGACTGTACCAAAGCCACAGCCCGAAGGCTGTGGCAGCCACAGCCCGAAAGCTGTGGCAGATACAGCCCGAGGACTGTACCAAAGCCACAGCCCAGGCTGTGGCAGCCACAGCCCGAAAGCTGTGGCAGATACAGCCCGAAGACTGTACCAAAGCCACAGCCCGAAGGCTGTGGCAGCCACAGCCCGAAAGCTGTGGCAGATACAGCCCGAAGACTGTACCAAAGCCACAGCCCGAAGGCTGTGGCAGCCACAGCCCGAAAGTGTGGCAGATACAGCCCGAAGACTGTACCAAAGCCACAGCCCGAAGGCTGTGGCAGCCACAGCCCGAAAGCTGTGGCAGATACAGCCCGAAGACTGTACCAAAGCCACAGCCCGAAGGCTGTGGCAGCCACAGCCCGAAGCTGTGGCAGATACAGCCCGAAGACTGTACCAAGGCTACACATACATACATACATACATACATACATACATACATATACACATACATTACATACATAATACAGTAATTACATACATACATACATACATACATACATACATTACATACATTACAATTACATACATTACATACATTAATTACATTACAGACATACATATACATTACATACATACATACATTACATACATACATACATACATACATACATACATACATACATACATTACATACATACATACATACATACAACATTACATACATACATACATACATACATACATACATACATTACATACACATAGACATACATACATATATTACATACATACATACATACATACATACATACATACATACATACATGCATGCATGCATACATACATACATACATACATACATACATACATACATACATACATTACGTACATACATACATACATACATACATACATACATACATGCATACATACATACATACATACATTACACACATACATACATACATACATACATACATACATACATACATGCATACATGCATACATGCATGCATGCATACATGCATACATGCATACATGCATACATGCATACATGCATACATGCATACATGCATACATACATACATACATGCATACATGCATGCGTGCAGCAGAACATAGAGGAATAAACTGGGGTCGGCGGCACTGGGCGGCAGCCCTTAAATAAAAACATCCAAGCCCACCATTTTCATCTGCTCGTTCCGGACCTGGGGGTTGGATAGAAATACTATCTTAGGTTGTATCGTTCTAATTCACTTTCTTTTTAAACGAAGAAGTTGTGATTGGATTCATTCCTTATCAAGTGAAATGAGAAACTCTGACTTAATTGCAAAATTCTATTGGAAAAGAATCCGCGTCTAGAGTCTATGTAAGATGCAATCCGAAGTAGAATTCTGACCAAGAGTGTCATCATTGAGGTTCAAACTGAATTTAAAGTGGAATTGAATAATGGTTGTTATACTTCAACGAAAATGTTACGCAGGAATAGGTATTCAACATTTTCGGGGCCGCTTGTTTCCTCCCTTATGACTGCTACTTGATATTTGTGGCAAGTTCTACATAATTTCTACCTTACATTAAAAGGCATTTAACATGGACAGAATCTCACCGTTGTCTATGTTGAAACAGAATTTAACTAATGCTGGTTCTAATTCAAAGCAAATACTAAAATGGAATTCTTCTCCAATAGAATCAGCTCTGCAAACCTGTAGACATTTAAACAACGTGTATTTAACAATTATGGGCCTCTAAGTTCTTTCTTACAAATGATGTTTAATGCATGTGTCAAGTCCAACGTAAATTAAACAAAGGAGTGAGTCCAACCAAGGGAAACAAACGCAGCCTCCAGGCATCTGGAAAGAGAAATATATATTCATGGCCATGCGTGTTTAAATACCTGACTTCTACGCGCAGTACATGTGGCACCCGCTACATTGCGCTACATCAAGGCTTTGGGCCTACCGCGCTGCGCCAGTACAAAAGGAGCGCTACATTGCCGGGTTGACTCACTTACACTTCAGGTTTACACTTCAAGTCTAACAACAAATTTTCACAGGGAACCACCTATTAAAGTGATTGGTGAACATGATGACATGAACCCCCCCACCTAACTTATGTCCACCAAAGGGTCCCTTGTTCAAACTCATAACCCAAAAATAACAAATTACATTTGCCATACGCAACTCCAAGGTACTGAAACAAGACAAAGCATGCAGCAGTGGGCCGAATGTCTCTCAGTCTCTACTGCAAAACTGAAACTTCCTGCGACACATCCTCTCGACTTGCCCTTCAAGTAAACAGGTACGCAGTTGCTCCAAGTTTAACATG